AAAAAAAATTACAAATAAATGTTAAATTTTATCAAAAAAAAAAAAAGGAAGGGCTGAAAAAACACTTCCTGGTTGATGCTGATGGATTTTTATATAAATATACACAGTTAAAATTAGCTGAGGGGAGTCAGGATGGGTGGAGAAAAAAAACAGAGAGAGTGCCTGGTATGTTTTTAAGACTTCACTATTACCCCGGCTTGATTACTTACTATATTTTACCCAAGTAAGCAAGCTAGGAATTAGAAAAAATTTATTCAGAGCTTAAATAAGCATTTTAGGTCCTAGTAAACAGAATCACAAGAAAGATCCAAAGCACTACAAAGTATTTCAAAAAAGAATAGTTGGAAATCAAGATTCTCTCTCTGCACATGCAGTTAATGAAAAAGGGCAGGGCCCCAACTTCAAAGGAAACCACTATCTGTTGTTCTCTAAAACGTATAGATTACTAGACTTAGAAAGCTCTACTCTTGTCTTTTGTGACTTGCCTGATCCCTTTATGCTGCAGAGGATATGGCAGCCACATGTCTTGGGAAGAAGACTCTGGTCAAGGTTTACCTTCTTGGAATGTGGTCATCACAGAAATAAGGAGAAACTCCTTTTTGGGCTGGACTCAGTGGTCCATGAGTGCACTACTGTCTCTGTTTTCTTGCTCAAAGAGATAAAGCACCATATTAAAACTCAATATATTGGGGGAAGAAAAGATAAAAACACAAAAAGGGCCTGTCTTATCTTCAGAAATGGAATTCTCAGCTTTGTAAGTTCTGGCATTCAGCTTAGCCAGATTACCAAGCTTATTTAAAAGCTGAAGGCTTTACCCCAACTTCATCTTTTGCTATTTTCAGGGTTTGTTTCCACAAGTGCGCCTGAGCTTGGGTACATGTGCTTCACCCAATTCTCACACATCAGTGAACAGTGGCAGCAGAAACCCAGGTCCACAGCAGGAGGTTTAATTAACTGTACACAGGACAGTGCCAACAGTACTGGGATCGACTCCCCTGGGGTAGCACGCCAACAAGGCTAATATGCAAGGGAAATCCACTTCTGGGTGGGGGATAAGTATGTCCCCATCAAGTAGGCTATCAATATAAAAAAAAACAAAAACAAAAAAACCCAAACATACCCAAACCCAAAAACCTTGCCAGGACAGCCTCAGCAAGAAACCAGAGCTTCTCTGAACACAACGAAAGAGAAAAGCCAGAATTTAGTGTTTTCCAGTGGATGGGTCAGGTTTACTCTGCTTTCTAGCAGGTTATTAGAAGCCACTCTAGGCAGTCCCATACAGGCCTTTCTAATCATCTTTCACATTCCCCTCATATATATTCTCTGTCTGAAGGGTTGGTAATGGGATTAAGCCATAAGACCAAAACAATATTAAATGATGATGGCAGTGGTGAAGATCTAGGTTGTAATCCAGATGGTAAATGAGCTTTCTACATGTAAACACACTGTAAAACTCAACGACTTGGAAGGAAGTCTGCCTTCACTCTGTGAAGACTGTCTGGACAAATGAGAGTAGTTTCCAAAGACTCATCAAGGATTTCTCCTGTCTACACAGCAGGACACACAGTTGGCACTGCTCCCCATAGTGAACGTTGAAGTCAAAAGTGTATATTCAGGAATTCTGAACTCTTTTCTAGTCTAGATCAAGGATGGCACAGATCTATTCAAAATAAACAGCTTTACTCTCAACAAAGTTTAAGCTGATCTACAGTGATTCAGGAGGGCTATACAAGCATTTTTTTCATGTTTAACAAGTGACAAACTCATAGAGAATAAATGTAATTGACCAAATAAATATCACTAGGGGCAAATAAATGAGCTATCGGTATAGTACAAATGCAGCCTGAAATAAAGGCTTCAGGCAAGTTACTTCACCTCTCTGTGTTCTATCTCCTCTCATACCAGTTCCCTATGTAACTCAGGGATGTCAGGAGGATTAATTTGATAATGTCTGTAAAGTGCTTTGAGCTCCTTAGAGAAAAGTGAAACAAGTGGTTATTATTACATCCCACTGAGGTTGTGAGGTTGTACAACATTAAAAAAAAGATAAAAACAACTCTTTGATAGTTTATTATGAAGAATTTTTATAGCCTGACAAGGTAGTTTATAATCGTTTTTTACTAGTCTTTATTATATGCCCAGGAGATAGGAAACATGCCTGGCTCCCTCTTCTACATAAAGAAACCAAGACAGTGACTTTTGAGATGGGAGGCACTCTTATCTCCATTTTCCAGATACGGAAAGCAAAACAGGAAGGTGAGTGGCTTTTTCAGTCACATTCAAGAGGTGAGAGGGTTAAGCATAATTAAGAATCTGGAAAACATCAAGGGTCACCACTGCGTTCTCTGAAACTCTGACACTGTTCTGACAAGAGTGCAGTGACTAGGAATCAGAAAGCCTAAGATTAAATACTTGCTCTTACCATTTACTAGTTGTATAATCTTAAGAGAAGTCACTTTTTCTTTATGTGTCACTTCCCTCTGCACAGTGGGGTTTGGTGGGGGTCAAATTACATAAAGTATGGGAAAACTTGGGCAAGCAGTGACACACTGTGCAAATAAGTTATTACCTTTATTACATCTCAATATTCTTGAGAATACGGGTTCTCCTAACCTCTACAACTTTAGGAAAGACAATTCAGTACCTCACATGAAATATGTGGTAATAATTTTTAAAATAGCTTTATTGAGATATAATTCACACATGATACAACTCACCCATTTAAAGTGTACAGTTCAATGGCTTTTAGCATATTCACAGACTTGTACAACCATCACCACAATCAATTTTAGAACATTTCATCACCCCAAAAAGAAACTCCAAACACATTAGCAGCCACTCTCCATTCCCACCACCCTCTCACTCACACTCATAAACACACACACACACACACACACTTCTCTCCACCCTAGGCAGCCATTAATCTACTTTTTATCTCTATAGATTTGTATATTCTAGACATTTAATCTAAGTGGAATCATAAAATACGTGGCCTCCTGTGACTGGCTTCTTTCACTTAGCACAACATTTTCCGGATTCATCCATGTGGTAGCATGTATTGGCACTTCATTCCTTTTACTGCCAAACAATATTCCATTGTATGGGTATACCACATGTTATTTAATCTATCTATCAGTCAATGGTTATTTCCACTTTGGGGCTATCATGAATAATGCTGCTATGAATATTTGCGTAGAAGTTTGGTTTGAACATATGTTTTCACTTTTGAATGTATACCTAGGAGTGAAATCGTTGAGTCACGTGGTAACGCTATGTTTAAGGTTCTGAGGAACTGCCAGCCTGTTCTTTGAAGTGGCTGCACCATCATACATCCCCACCAGCAAGCAGTGCCCAAGGAGAAGGGAACTGAAGGGGGGCCAAAGCAGGGAGACGTGAACTGGTACCTGCTCAGGGAGCAGCTAAACTAGCTCTGCACAGTGACAGTTTGTGTTACTGACAACAGCGATGAAAATGCTTCACACCAAGTTTTAGAAGGAAGAAAACTGGCTGGTGGGACATATTCCTCCTTTTCTCCCTCCTTGCCTTGGCCCAGGCTAAGGCCAAGAGTACATAAGCAGCTTTTTACACACAGACTAATGCTGCTCCCATCTCTAATAGAAAGTAATACAGAACCTGCAGAACCAGGGTCTAAAAGCCCTCTATCATCTCTCAGATCCAGGTGGTAAGATAATGTTGCCCTTTTGAGTCTCTAGAATTGGTATCCAAAATTTATGAAATTTGGTGTGCCAGGCCCTCACCATTCCCTTCAGTGCAGCAGGCTGAGCCCAGCCCGAACACATACGTTCAACACAGGTCAAGCATACGCTAGCTCCAACAAAGTGGATTCCTGTACAGTGGCATCTGCAAGCCAAACAGAACTGGTAGAGGGAAACAGATGGCTTCTAAAAGGGGAAGAGAAGAAAAACAGAAGGTCAGGTAGAAAAGGGTGGGGGAAAGAAGGGACTGGAAAGAGGATAAGAGAAGGGAGAAGCATATTTTCTGGTTTTGCTCTTCCCACCTGTCACAGCACTCTCCTTGCTGGCTGCCAGCATGCTCCCTTGCAAACACAGCTGCAAGTGACAAAGAGCAGCCACTGTCCTACTCAGGGGGTCCCTTCCATGTTCCATACTGTAAACTGTACTGAAATGCCAAATGCCTACAAGAAAGGGAATTACACACCCATTAAAGCCTCAAGGAGCAAACTGCTGTCTATAGCCAAAAAATTAGCATTGAGACCCACAGGTTCCCTGCAAAATAACATAAGACTACCCAGAAAACATTAAAAAGCAACAGAATCAAAAGATTAAGTGCTTAAAAGTGTGGCTTATTTTAATTTTGTAGCTTTGTCAGACCTACAATTAACTCAATCAATGTAAGATCGTATTCTGTCATATATTTCATGTAGTCTCCACATGTTTAGTATGCTGTCGGGCTCTTTTACAATTAAAAGAAAATTAGCAAGTCTTTTCCCAGCAGAGTTAGGGATTGCCATTAGGGATTGCCAATGAAGGGAAATGCTTCACACCAAATTTTAGGAAGGAGAGATACTGGCTCCTGGGGACATTTTTCTCTTTCTTCCCAACTTTCCGAGGCCTAAGCCAAAGCCAAGGCAAAGGGAATATAAGCAGCTTTTTACACACAGACTAATGTTGCCAGCAGAGTTCCAGTGGCCTTGCTCACGGCAGGAGAAGGCGTAGTGACTAATACCGCTGAGTCTTGCTGAAGAAAAGTGGCTGGCTTCCTTTGATCAACTGAGTGGTGTGCTGATCAGTGTGATTTCCCTGTTCTGCTGACTGTGAGCGTGTTGCGGAGAGCAGGAGAGCTGGCTTCTGAGAGGCCCATGCAGGGAAGCAAATTCCATAGCTGCCGAATCACAGAAAGCAACAAGAAATAAAAGAGGGCTGAACTGGAAGCAGACACCCTAATTCTGCCACAGCATGTTACTTACTGATACAGGGATCTCTGGGAGGGCAATGAAGTAGGTGCTTCTAAAACTCTAATTCATCAACTACAGTACTATACATAACTGTTCAACACGTGTTCAAGACCAGAGTCCAAGCTCCTGAAACCATCGTTTCAAAAAGTTTTAATCACTTCATCTTGATGGGGGGAGAGGAAAAAAATGGGACTAAGGAACAGGAACTCATCAGCACAGGTAGCTCTTGGCACACAAAGGAAGTGTGTCCAGCACGTGTGTGTGTGTATGTGTGTGTGTGTGTGTGCAGGACTATAGCAGCATCCCTCTCTCTTCTATTTGCCAGAGAAGCAGCCGTTAGGTTAACACAAATTAATCTGCTTATATGCTATTCAGATTTTTTCCCTAGTAAACTGCAAATTTTACCTAAAGATAAATACAGCAGTCTCCTAGTTCTCTGCTCCATTCAGTTCTTACTGAGAAACACTTCTGTTATCTCAAGTTTCATCAGCAGATTGTACTTCTTCCTAGGGAACAACAGCAAAAAGTAGTTTTCTAAAAGCATAGTCTCTGAGGTAAAATACACCATATTTAAATGACTTCTTCCAAAAAAAAAAAAAGGATAACTTTCCATCTCTAAAGTTTTAATTCTTGATAAATGGAGTCTGTGATTTCTTACACTAGATTCTAATCATTGCTGCTTTAGAGTAAATAGTCAATTGCAAATTGAGCAAATTGCTTTGGCTATCCTAGTACCAGAAATGAAATGGATTAGGTCAGCAGGTGGCATGTCATTTCAGTGCTGCCTGGGGGCCCAAAATACAGTTAGGTCATTTTTATTCTGGTGACAGCAGGAATGAAAACCGGAGCATTTAACATTACCTCCTGCCTCTATTCTCATAGCCATCTTGGGCACAGAAGAGTTTACAGAAGCCCCTAAGCCTACATCTCCAGCATCTAGGCTGCTTCTAGGGCCTCCAGAGATACCCAAGTTGAAGCTGCCCAAGGATATCTGGGACAGGATACTCTGACTTTGGTCCTCAGAGACACAAAGCTTCTTGTCCACACAAGCAAAGTGAATTCTTTTTAACCACTTTTAAGCATGTCAATATGCAATTCCATTCTGTAGTACTTTCCCTGAAAGAAGAGAATGGCCATTATACCTCTACTCAAGGGGGTGGGGAAACTTTCCAGTCTTTGCTCTGGGGGCAGGGAGGACTGGAGGAAGGAGTGGTCACAAGCCAAGAAACAAACACAAAAAAGAGTGATGGGAGTGGGGAGACAGGCAGGAGAAGACAGGCTGAACTAGGAGAAAAACCCTTCTGTCCAGAAATCTGGGCCTCTTGCACTGCTAGAACATTCAAACAATCCAACAACGGCTCTTCTGCCAAGCCTCCTTTCCCCCTATACATTTCAGACTAGTAGTAGAATTAAAAAACTAAGGTAGCCTTTGCAAGTTTCTTCCTATGAAATAGTCAAAATGAGATCAGATTATTTAATAGTACCTGGACTCTAAGATGCTATGAGGTGATAATACTCAACTTCCCAGGAAGAAGGAAAACGGATTTTGATATTAAACAATTTACAAATTTCAAAATTGTATGTCCCATTACATACATTTAGACAACTATATTTTTGTGATTGTATTTTTCTACCATTTTTAATAGTACTAAAATAGAAAATAACATCAGCTCGAGAATCAGAAGTCCAGGCTCAATAGCTTACCAGTTATTTTCTGCCTCCCTCGTACCGTTTTAGAGAACTACTCTTTCCCTGCTCTCAGTAGATGTAGTTCATCCAGGGATGACCTCAATCCTGCGTCAGGGGTGGCACGTGACCCAGGTTTGGTCAGTGAGACAACTCTAGCTCCCGGGTCACACTGAAGGACGACTGGTTCATGGACTGAAAATCATGTCCATGTCTGTGCTGGTACTTCCAGAGAAAAAGAAAGCTTTCTCTCTTCGTTGGGGTTGACAAAATGGCAGGCTGTCACCAAGAGCTGCCAGAGGAAACTGCTGCTGGTACAAGACAACCGATATGCAAATGATGCCAAAAGGAGGAGAAAGTGTTCTAAAACATAGTGGAAGCCCCTAAATCCAGCCATGTCTAGAACCAGCTACATCCCTCAACTTACTAGTTACATAAGCCAATACATTCTCTTGTTTGCATAACAACTCTGAGTTGAATTTCTATCATTTGAAACCAAGAGTCCTCACATTACTAAACCAGCCAAATAACCTTGGACAAATCATTCAATCTCATTGTATATCAGTTTTCTGAACTCTAAAGGTGGAGGCAAAAAACAAAACAAAACAAAACATGTTTATCTTACAGAATTGAAAACCGCTAAGTACTACACAGGAGGCATTGATATTTTAACTAAAACAGAAGGTAGAGACAGAAGGAATAAGATATTCAGGGGGCTAAACTGCTCCTAGCTGCTAGTGCTGATAAGATAACATTCTACTTCTATTAGTTTTCTCATCATTTGCCCCCGTGGGGCCTGTGGAATCTTTATCAAACCTGTTAATCACCTAGTAAATCCTTAAGTATTTTCCCTTTGACTTTCAGTTGACAAGACTTTTCCACCTTCCTGGACATCTCTGACCAAACTACCTATGTGGGAAGATAAACAAAAAAAAGCACAACTATATTATGCAACTATACTTGCAAGAGCTAGGAAGAAAAATAATGAATGCACTACACTTTCAACTTTCAAAGTTTCTGGACCTAAAGATTAAGCATGAATGAAATCATTCTTAAGAAGAGGTTTTATTTCAAGATATTTTCAGTACCTCTGACATCAATTAGCTTTTTCATTATACATAAAATTATAACTACATGCTACGCCTGGTAAAAAGAACCCCATGGCTCAGCATTTCCTAACCTTAATCAGTGTTTCATGTGGGCTGAACATTAATATTTTAAAGCAAATAAAAGATATGATGCTTTTCTTCAGGTTTCTAACTCGCCAAAATGTTTCTGAAAGCTAGAATACATTGGTAAACGTTATTCACTTCCAACCACAGAGAAGAGTCAAAAGATAATTTCAGTCATTTTTCTTAAAAAATTTTTTTCCAAGAGGAAAAGCTGAAAGCTGGAGTATTAATATAATAGTTATTCTGACAAACTATATTATGTAAAGTTTCTTCTCTAGCAAGATTGAAACAACAAACCAACACCATACAGATTTGTTCCCAGATGATTCATCAATAAAAATGCTATATCAGATTGACTTGGGGTTATCAGATTTAGTTAGGACAATATCAAACAACTTTAACGAAATTCAACTTGCTTTTTCTTATATGTCTTTGTATGTACGGGCTCTACTCCCAGAGATTCTAACTGCTCTAATATGGGGCCCCAGATGCAGCATTTTTCAAATGTTCTTCAGGTTATTCTAGGGTACAAGCTAGGGTTGAAAACCACTAGTCAACAGGTAGATGTGGGTCTGGCCTTCAATACATAGACTAGATTTTATTTTGATAACTATTCTATAATTGCTGAGAAAATCATTACTATTTAAATCACTATACTTTCATTAATATGCCAGTAGAAGATAAGATCCTTAAAAAGAGAAATCCCTATCAGCCTTGTTCAGCACTGAAGCCAAGTGGAATGCCTGGCACATGAATAGTTGTTCCATAAATATCTGTGAATGAATGAATTAAAAGCTAAAAAGTACACTTCAGTCTTAGTAGCTTGAAGTAATACAGCAGAGGCTCTCTTAAATCAATAATAACCAGGTCAGGGGGCACCTGGGTTGTTCATTTGGTTAAGCGGCTGCCTTCAGCTTAGGTCATGATCCCAGGGTTCTGGGATCGAGCCCAGCATCGGGCTCCTTGCTCAGTGGGGAGCCTGCTTCTCCCTCTGCCTGCTACTCCGCCTGCTTGTGCGCGCTCTCTCTCTCTGTCAAATAAATAAAATCTTTAAAAAAAAAAATAATGACCAGGTCAGGATCAGTTAAAAAAAAAAGGGGAGGGGGAGGTCATCTAAATCAGTAAACCATAGGGGCGCCTGGGTGGCTCAGATGGCTAAGTGTCTGCCTTCGGCTCAGGTCATGATCCCAGGGTCCTGGGATCGAGTCCCACATCAGGCTCCCTGCTCTGCAGGAAGCCTGCTTCTCCCTCTCCCACTCCCCCTGCTTGTGTTCCCTCTCTCACTGTGTATCTCTCTGTCAAATAAATAAATAAAATCTAAAATAAATAAATAAAATCAGTAAACCATAAAAATCTGTATACATACCTAAGCATTTTAACTTAAATGAACATTCATTTGCTAATGTTGTAAGATAGGGCCAGGCCTTTTGTTTGGATCTACACCTTAAAGAATGTCCAAATGTCTTTCATAAATTATAACCATAATGCACCCTCTACCATTTCCACTTGTGACTTTTTTTGTAGTTTCAAGTTTTTATTTAAATTCCAGTTAACATACAGTGTAATATTAGTTTCAGGAGTAGAATTTAGTGATTCATCACTTAGAAACAACACCCAGTGCTCATCACAAGTGCCCTCCTTAGTGCCCATCACCTATTTCACCCATCCCCCCCATCCACCTCCTTTCTGGTAACCATCAGTTTGTTCTCTCTAGTTAAGAGTCTATTTTATGGTTTGCCTTTCTCTTTTTTCCCCCATGTTCATTTGTTTCTTAATTTCCACATATGAGTGATATCATATGGTATTTGTCTTTCTCTGACTGATTTATATCACATAGCATGATACTCTCTAGCTCCATCCACATCATTGCAAATGGCAAGATTTCATTCTATTGGATGACTAAGATTCCATTGTATATATATATACCACAACTTCTTTATCCATTCATCAGCCGATGGACATTTTGAGCTCATTCCATAATTTGGCTATTGTTCATAGTGCTGCTATAAACACTGGGGTGCACGTACCCCTTTGAATCAGTATTTTTGTATCCTTTGGTAAATACCTAGTAGTGCAATTGCTGCGTCGTAGGGTAGTTCTATTTCTAACGTTTTGAGGAACCTCTAAACTGTTCTCCAGAGTGGCTACACCAGTTTGCATTCCCACCAACTCCACCTGTGATTTTTAAATTATGGTGAGAATTTAAGGCACTTTGAAGCAATCTGAATGTAGAATCCTTCTGGATTAATAATTTATCCCATTCTTTTACAGTTGTCTTGCCCAAATGTTACTGGGCAGCAATTTTTTACTAACTCACCTTTATCAGCTCTTTCCAAAGCATTTAACTTGGTTTTCATGGGAACAACTTGCTTTTTCATAAGTCACTGGTTTATGTAACAGTTCAATTACATAATTACAATAACAAGAACAAGTGGCATAAACAGGCTTGGGAACAAACACAACTCACTCTTGATAAGCATTCTACAACTGATGGGAGATGTATGTGAGTACCTTAGACAGCAACCTTCTGGCCACAGGCATTCAGAGGGACTGACAAGTGACAGTTAAGCCAATGAGTCAGTTAAGACTTTTCTCTGCACAGAGCTTTTACTGTTAGACAAATGCTAGCCACAGGTTTCTTCCCATTG